CTCTTTTTTCTCTCTATTTTCATCTTCGTTTTCTTCTTTACTCTACTCCTTCCCCTCTCCCTCTCCTGCCCCCCCACTCCCTCATTTACATAAGCAATGTGTACGATAAATTAACACCCTGGTACATGAACACGATAAACGAAACTTTAAACTCTGAAGAAATGTGCAACGTGTATTGCAAACCTTGCTCTTTAGCATTTGCATGCAAGGGAGAAATATCTCTGTCCTTTTGTATGAAGAAAAGATAAGCATGCAAAAATATATGCCATTAACACGAGAAATTGCATGCACGCTTGCCGATTCGTTTTTTTTTTTTTTTTTTTTTTTTTTTTTACCTGTTGTCTCATATATTTATTACTATTTTTAAAATCATTATTGTTATTATTATCATTATTATAATTATCACTTGCGTTGTTGCTGCTGGTACTGTTGCTGTTTATGTTTTTGTGGTTGCTGTTGTTGTTGTTGTTATTATTACTATTCTTATCATCATTACTACTACCACTATCATTGCTATTATTATTACCATTATTATTATTGCTGTTGTTGTTATTGTTACTATTATTATTATTATTATTATTATTATTATTATTATTATCATTATTATTATAATAATTATTATTATTACTATCATTATCATTATTATCATTGTTGTTGTTGTTATTATTATTATTATTATTACTGCTATTATTATTATTATTATTATTATTATTATTATTATTATTATCATTATCATTATTATTATTATTATTATTATTATTATTATTATTATCATTATTATTATTATTATTATCATTATTATTATTATTATTATTATTATTACAATTATTACTAATACTATAACTAATATAATTATCATCAATTTTATCATTATCATTATCATAATCACTATGATCATGCTTACTATCGCCATTGCTATCATTAATACCATTATATGTTCCCTTTTTCGTATTTCTTTTAGACATGAATAAATCTAAACTATTCTCACGAGGAAACGAATAGAACTAAAGCGTGAATAAACACTTGACGTAGCAATGGTCCATGTTAAAGTTGTGAACATGAATCGTGGTTTTTAGGAATCAGCTGTTTTTTGTTTACGTTTGACCGATTAGGTTTGCATGTCTTCGGTTTCACGGTTGCACGCTCGCTCACGCTCTCTCTCTCTCGTTCTCTAGCTCTCTCTCTCTCTCTCGCTCTCTCATTGTCTCTGTCTGTCTCTGTCTCTGTCTCTGTCTCTCTCTCTCTCTCTCTCTCTCTCTCTCTCTCTCTCTCTCTCTCTCTCTCTCTCTCTCTCTCTCTCTCTCTCTCTCTCTCTCTCATTGTCTCTGTCTCTGTCTCTGTCTCTGTCTCTCTCTCTCTCTCGCTCTCTTTCTATCTCCCTCTCTCATTGCCTCTGTCTCTCTCTCTCTCTCTTTCATTGTCTCTATCTCTGTTTCTTTCTCCTCCCCCCCCTCTCTCTCTCTCACTCTCACTCTCTCTCTCTCTCTTTCTATCTCCCTCTCTCATTGCCTCTCTCTCTCTCTCTTTCTCTCTCTCTCTTTCATTGTCTCTATCTCTGTTTCGTTCTCCTCCCCCCCCCCCCCCCCTCTCTCTCTCTCTCTCTCTCTCTCTCTCTCTCTCTCTCTCTCTCTCTCTCTCTCTCTCTCTCTCTCTCTCTCTCTCTCTCTCTCTCGCCTTCTTTCATGTGCGTTTGCATTTGTTATTCAAAGAACGCTTTTTTGTTATCGTGTGATATTAGGGTGCAATTATTTTCCGAAGAAAAATAAAAAGTGTAAAACGAGAGGGAAAAAAGTGAAAGAATGAGAGAATAACAGAAAAAAGAGGAAGAATGAATGGTGGATAATTACATTAATGATCCTAACATAACAATGATGGGGATGATAATGATGATGATGATGATGATGATGATGATGATGATGATGTGATGATGATGATGATATAGATAAAGATAAATATAATGCTAATGATAGTGATACTGATAATAATGATAATGATGATGATGATGATGATAATAATGATGGTGATAATAATAATGATGACGAAGAGTGTGTGTATGTAAGTATGTGTGTGCGTAGTCAACTCACTGTGCTCAATCCCAACAAATCCAACACACCCACGCAATAGAACAGACGGGAAACTATGCAAGCAGATTTTGCTATTCCCATGATACACAAAATGCATAATATAACCGTGACAAATAACGTGTACGAGTGATTTAAAAAAATAAAAATAAATTACGTGACGTTACCTCTATCACTCAAAATCACGACTTACCATCTTTAATGTTTACCAAGTCGGCTGTTCTGTAGATGTAAGTGTCGCGAGCTGAAACGACAGAGTGTTAAAACTACTGATTTTTGTGTTATTTTTCTTGTTTTGTTTCTGTCTGTCTCTCATACTCTGTCTGTCTGTCTGTCTGTCTCTTTCTCTCTTTCTCTCTCCTTCTGTCTCTCCCTCTCTCCCTCTCCCCCTCTCTCCCTCTCTCTCTCTCTCTCTCTCT